CCTTCCTTCCTTCCTTCCTTCCTTCCTTCCTTCCTTCCTTCCTTCCTTCCTTCCCAAATTGCAATGTCAACATAGCAGCATTAGGGTGCTTCCACTTACTCTGCATACAGAGCCCATCTGTGCAGTTCTTGGACTGCAAGACAAGGCCCTCACAGTCTTTGCCGCCGTTCTTTGGTGCTGGTGCTGTGCAGTCCCTCCTGCGCCAGTGGGTACATTCTGTTCCACATGTAGACCATTTACTCCATGCTGTCCACCTCCCATCCACTGTCATAAGAAAATGGAAAAACGTATATAAAGACAAAATGAGGTGGGAGTGGGAGAAAGAGAAAGAGAAAACACCCAGATTAAAAAAAAAAATTTACTCTACATAAAGAGGGGCAAAACAGCAGACAACTCAAGGAGTCTGCTGATTGAAAATACAGATAATAGAAGTGCCTTTCCTTCTTGCTTGTTTGCTTTCTTCCTCTCTCTCTCTCTCCCCTCCCTCCCTCGCCAAAGGGATAAATTTCAGCTTAATTCTGCTCAGATCATTTGTGGATTTGTATGTAAGAAGTAGCCTAGTTTGTCTGAATGCAATGCTGAAGTCTTAGGATAAAGTCTGACTGTACAGACTATGTACAGATGAAATCCTTTTTATCATATTGCCAATCACAGGACTGTAGAAGACCACAAGAATCATCTAGTCCAACTCTCTGCAGTGTGCAGGAAAACCAAAAGCCACCCACTAGAGGTAGCTGTACAGCTTCTTTTTAAAAACCTCCAGAGATGGAGAACTGCATTGAGCCAGATCTCTGGTTCTGGTTCTGCTGCACTTTCACTCATTCTGGAAAGAAGGATGAGTGAAAGATTATGTTCAGTCATTGATATGTGTTATTTTTAAGGCATTCCTCTAGCACGCAGCAGAAGCAGTGATGCAGTAAATTGAACAACTGATGCCTTCATTAGAAATTGTGCCACTAGTAGATCATATTAGATTTACTAATCCAAGCACTATACACAGTAGCAATACATAAATTGCCATGCAAACAAATATTTTAGTGCACTAAGTGTGGGTACTGAAACAGAAAGTATGATTCACCTATTCTCTTCTGTGACATGGGAAATGCTTTATGCAAGAGGATTAGAAATGTCCTATTATTGTGTGAGTAAAGATTCAAAGATTTTTCAAATCCTGCTCGCTCCACCTGCAGAAAGCAGGATATGAAGCCTGCAGTTTAATATTGTGTTATAATCAAAATATTGATTAAATTATTTTAATGATCAGTATTAAATATTGATATGACTTTTGATAGTGGGATATAATTTCTTAAAATAAATGAACTGAATTATATTGTTCTCCTCCATTCTTGGTCAGCGATAGGCACAATTTACCGCAGCAGCAATATTCCTTCCCATGTTCAAACCTATGTCTCATCTTTCCAGATGTTATCCTTAGCAGAATCAAGGATAATCCTGCATGCATGGTGACCAAAAAGATAAATATTATAATAGTAGAATGCTATGAGTCCAGTGCAGTGTAGTACAATCAGTGCAGAACTGGTACTGAAAAAGGAGATTATTTTAGACCTTGAAAGAGTAATTCTGTTCCACTGATCTGATGAAGATGGAGATTCTAGCAAAGGTTCTAAAAAGTTTCACACAGTAAAGAATGCTATGAGTTTGTAGAAACTCTACTCTGATTTTATAATTGTTGATATATTCTCCAGTGTCTAGACTGAGCTAGAAAAAAAATCCTGACTTCCCCAGCAATTCCGGTTGATTTCTGCCACTGAACAGCACCCCTTTTCCCATAATGTATGTTAATGTCCCCACCTTCTTGTTCATCTGGAATTCTGCACTATTGGAACACTATGAAGAAAGTTTTAATGGAAAATTCATGGATAAACAAGTGGGAAGAATAATGTAGCTATAAGCAATGGAAGATATGACACTGGGGATTAATAGAATAATTGGGTAAAAGAGCTGTTAGATAACTTCTGCTTCTCTCCTACCAGATGGCTCTTGGCTATGTCAACAAGTTGTACTGTATTTGGTGGTACTGCTGTACTCCCAAAGCCCTTCCCTCATCCATGAATTAAGAGAAAATGAGAGAGGAAGATTTTCTCTTTAGGGTTCCAAAAGCCAGAGGTGGTAGTCTTGCTGACATCATCTGGCTCACATTTAAAAAATTACCCAAAATTGCTCTAAAAACATTTTGAAAAGCCTTCTTCAAAGTGCATCCTTCAAAAGAAGTTAGACAGGTAGCCACTAAGCATATGGATTTCTCATATTTTGGCTCTGTGGTTTCTTCTGCCAAACTGAATTTAAGGAGAGAGTTCAGGATATTTGCAATGTTTACTTAATATATATTTTTAAAAAGCATCTTAAATTCTATACAACAAAAGCTTTAAATTCTTTGTTCATTATATTATGAACAATTGTTATATATTATAAAAACTTAAATAGATAACCTGCCTGCATCCCAACATGGTGTTTCCGTTTGACATTGGGCTAAGGAGGGCTTTCCAGCCACATGTTTCTCCTCTGATATGATGTAGATGTCTAAAATAAATTTGTGCCTACTAAGTCTCTATTAACATAGTGATTTCCTAAAATATTCCCTACTATAATAAAAGTTCAGACAGAAATTCAACAGATCCACAATCAATTCTTACAGATAATAAATATGACTTTTGAAGTTGTTTGCGCTGTTATGTGTTTTTGCTGTTTTAAATCTATATTTTATTTCTATACTTCAGTATGTTTTATTGTTGAGAAGTATAGGTAGTCCTCACTTAATGACCACAATAGGGACCAGAAAATTGGTTGTTAAGCAGGGCAGTCATTAAGCGAGTCACCATGTGACTGGATCTGTTTTTATGACCATTTTTATGATGGTTCTTAAGTGAATCACCATGTCATTAAGTGAATCATGTGGTTGTTAAGCAAAACCAGCTTCCCCAATGGACAATTTTTGCTAGGATTCGCTTAACAACCCTGTGATTCTCTTAATGACCCTGGTGATTTGCTTAATGATCATCATAAAAATGGTTGCAAATTGCAATCATGTGACCATGGGAGATGTGACAGTTTGTGATGGTCATAAGTGTGAGTACAGGTAGTAAAGCACTTTTTCTGAGGCCATTGTAACTTCGAACTGTCATTAAACAAAAAGTTGTTAAGCAAGGACTACCTGTATGCAGTAACATGGAACCTTGAATTTGTAATGTTTCAAGAGAAAGTTGAATTGATGTCAACTGCAATAGAAAGATAGGAAGGAGTGAAGGAAATAGACTTTCCTCCAACCATTATGTTAATCCTATTTATATCACCATAGCCAAATAGGTAAAGGAAGGTAGCTGGTGGTAGAGAAAATGTTTCGTTGATGTAAAGCATGAATCAGTTTTTGAGATCAGGAATGGGAATTATTTGAACATTTTCTTCCTGGAAGGAATTCAAATAATTTTCTGATCAATCTAAAATGAATAGGATAGATTTTACCCATCTTAGTGATTAAGACGGCAGCCAAAAGCATTTTAAAACAATCTTAAGATTTTTGATGATTTTTGTTTTTTGCATGTAAAAGATTGGGGTTTTCAGAACCATAATAATGAAGTGATAATCCAACTCCTTCAGATAATATTTTCAACTTTAGTAAATAAACCTTATTTTTGCCTATGAATAAGCTTACTAATACATTTTTTGGCTCAAAATCATGTTATTATTTAATTGCAGAGTTTTCAACAGATCCAAGGCCTAGGTTCCTGAGTCCAAATCTTGACACATTATGTAAGTGTTTAGAATAATGACTGAAAGAAAACAAGAGTTATTCTGGGCAATATAGCATCATAGTGATACAACATACCTGGACATAATGTGGTACAAGCTATTTTCTGCAAACTCTGGCCTTCACAGAAGGTGCCCCCATTGAGTGGTGCAGGATTGGTACATGTTCTTGTACGCTTCTGAGAGCCTTTCCCACAACGGCTGTTACATACCGACCACTCTGTCCAAGTTGACCATCCTCCATTGACTGAGAAGTGAGGAAGGTATAAAAATGACAGAGATGAAGAACTGACAATTTACTAAGCTTATAGGCATCCAAATGTTTCTATGCATTAAATATTTTTTTGTTAAAAAAGGAAAGTATTTATATACTGCTTTTATGCTTGCTAGAGTTTCAAAAATGGAAAATAAAAATACAATAATATCACAACAAAGGCAACCCCCAATTTAACATATAACAAAACAAGATTAAAATCTGGACAAAACTGTAGTTTTTTTGGAGGTTTAAAATTCAGTAATCCTTGGTTCTCTTAGAAAAAAAGATGTCTCTTAGAAAGGCCTGTCCTACTTGGACAGTCAGATGGAGCCTGCTCAGGACCTCCACCTACCAGGATGTGTGATAAGAGGAGTCCTGACACAGAGCATCTTCTGTAGGGTTCCCCTCCTAGGCTTATTCTCCAAGTTGTGTGGAAAGTTGCTCAGACTGGCTTTTCCCAAAGGTCTTTCATGTTGCTTCACTTATCTTTCTTGGCATGTCATTGGAATTCTAATCCACAGTATGTACCTTTCTCAAAACAGATCTTATAAATAATTTGCATATTATCAGGTGGTCTTGATGGGTCTAAGAAAAGGGGAAATGTAATCAGTAAGAGCCGTTCACCACTTCCCAAGTGGGATATTCCTCCTCTCAGATAGTGACCTCATAAGGGCTACTAAGACTGTCCAACTTCCACTGTCATACCCCTTAGGAAGGCTAGTAATAGAATATTCCTCTTTCTCCAAAGCTCCATTCAATTTCAGGATATTCTTACCAAGAAGCTGTAAGACATATTCACCAGCTGATGAAGCTGAAATTCACCCATCCAGATTATACCAGTAAATTGGAATCTATTCTCAGTTGAATACAGTGTCCAAGTGATTATGAACAATTTTCTCAGAAAAGTGATACAATATTAATCACACAAAATTTCTAAGGTTTTCTCCTTACTATTGTAAGGGATAGTATACATTCTTCCCCACCCAAATAATTCCAAGGGCAGCACTGTGTAGATACCAGCCTTTTCTCTGCCCTTACCAATACTGTATGGAGAAAGATAAAGAATACTCTCAAAAAATCAATATGTGCTTCATTAGTTATAGAAAGACCTTCAGTTGTGGTCACCATGTCAAGTTATGGAATGTACTTAGGAAACTGACAGGATAGGAAACAAGAGTCAGGACAGAACATGGTGAAATAGACTGTCTCCAGGTTTGTCTTCCAGGATGTGGAAGTAGATAAACATGATTTTAAAATTGGAGGAAGATACATCAATATTCAGTGCTATGCTGAGAATACTACTCTGATAGCTAAAAATGCAAATTATCTGCAAGCTCTAGTAATGAAAGTCAAGGACCACAATGAAAAAAATGGGACTAAGATTGAATATAAAGGCCAAACTAATGACAACAGGTACAGTAACACCCCCTTAGAACTGACAATGAAGATACTAAAGTGGTGGATAGTTTATCTTTTAGGATCAGCTGTCAACAGTAAAGGGACCAGCAGTCAAAAAATATGTCACACACTATGGATCATAGGACAAATCAACACAAATCAACCCTCAAGGCACAAATGACCAGGCTCAAATTATCATCTTTTGGACACCTAACTTTCTTGAAAGGTCTATAATGCTGGAAAAGATGGAAGGAAAGAGAAAAGAAAAAAAGAGGACAACCAGCAGCAAAATGGATGGATTCAACCATGGTGGTGATGGGTATACAATTGAAGGACAAAGTTGATGACACATCATCCTGGAAAAAAATCCATCTACAAAGAGTAAACACTGACTTGCTGGAACATCAATCAACTAACATGGACTAGGGACCATATACTTGCTCCTAAATGTTTAGAAACCAAAGAAAGTATATTCTGTGCCAAAGCAGAGCTGTATGGTCAATTTCCTGTTTCACAGGTTAATCTGGAATATTCTCTAAAACCTTGTGAGTCCTCCTAGATCAATTCCAATTTGATGATATTCAGTTTAGTAGGTGGATTATCCCTGTAAATGAAATTCAGTGTTTCAATTATTGTGGTAGTAACCCATTAAATTCTATTGCTAGATTCCTCATTAAACCAGTTTAGATTTTGGAAAACAATAAACACAGTTTATTTCCACAAGGATTAGGGCTTCACTAACCAGTTACCCCCTGCATTTCATAGAATTTCCCTCCTGCTTTTCTACAGACAGGCAAATTCCTCAGATAAATGCACTACAATTAATATGCTTATCCAACTGATTTTAGATTCTTTCAGTAGAGTGTTTTATTTCCATCTCAGATGATATATGCAACATTATAATTCATATATTTTGTACCAACCCAATGAACAAACAATAGAAAAAATGCTAAGCCATTACAGAACTTATTTATCTGATGAAGCTTTTATTCCTAAATTTAAAATGTCAAATGTATTCTTTTTTAAAAAATACAGGGTTTGTGACATATCACAAAGCAACTTTCTGTTTCAAGCATTCCTTCAAGAGATAAAGAGACTTTCAGACTCTTGAGATGGGGCTTATATTGACCAAATACAAAAACTGTGCAATATTCTAACTTTGACCACAAAGGTATTGCCCTGCAATTATTGACCTCCCCCGCTTTAAAAAAGAAGCTTGACTTTCTATCTTGTTTTCAGGGTTCTTAAGAATTTGTTCTGAGTATCTCCTGCTGGTGTTTTTGAGCTTACTTTATTGGTGGAGGAGAATGAAATTGCTGCACTTCTTTTCTGTACTTTCATCCTTCTGAAAGGTTCCCTGTCTGCCTATCTGACCAAGCTAGGGAAAAAAAAACCCAATGGGAAAAGTTCCTTCTTTATAGGAGAACTTCATTGAACTGAACCCAGGAAGCCAATACCTACAGACTGCTAGAAAGATGATGGTTCAATGAAAGATGGAATACATACATATGCCATATAAGCCTTCTTGTAACAAAGTAAGTGCAAGAGCCCACTGATGAAATTCTGTTCTCATTTGAAAGAAAGTTTGAAAGCATATTCTCTAACATAACACTGAATGAAAAGTGGTATAAAAACATGCAGAAATGCTTCTTTATGGCACTACAACAGACTGCTGAGAACTCTGGATGTTCTTTGTGGACAGAGAAAATGAGAATAAATGCAATCACAGATCAATCAAAGGAGCAGTTATTTATCTGCTTTTCCCTACCTCTCTCTCTCTCTTTCCCTACTCTATTTCCAACTCAACAGGAAGAATGCCAAGTTGTTCTTAAAAATTAAGTATAATATGTGTCCTTGTTCTAATTGCAGGCAGATTGAAAACAGTAAGGCTGCTTTATTCAAGCTGCTTCAGTTTTAAGCTTTTGATAAACACAATGAAATTTGAAAGCATGGACAGGGAGAATGACTTAACATTCCAGGGAACAAAACTCTGAAGTCTATGGAATTATTTTTTTTTTCAGACCAACATGTTTTAATTAACTTCAAAACAAAAGACAGTCTACTTTCACTCTGATTGCCCCACATTGTTCCAAGGTTTCAACACAGGGCTGAATAAATTAGAATTCAACCCACTTTAGAAGTCCACATTTCTCATTCTTGCATTTGTATAGCATTGTATAGTCTAGCAGAATATCTATTTTTTTTTAAAAAAATCATTATGTTTGACATTTCAAAGTAGTGACAAAGAGCTTGATCAGATTCCCAATAGGTGGTAAACCAATAGGTGATAAAATTTCACATACTAACCAAGATCTTCATGTTTAGAGAGAGGATACTTATACTGAGTATATGTACATGTGAACTAAACTTTGTTTATATGCATGCATGCATTGTACTTTCTATCAGAACTGTACAGAGCTTATCAACTGTGTCTCCCTTGTATCATAAATACTGATAACCATGTACATCTAACCAGTTACCTACTGAGGCAATGACTTCATTGAGGCAACTGCTTACAATCAGGCAAAATCGTCTTGGCCCTAAGATAAAAGTTCAGGTATAATCTATGCAATAATTAAAGTGATTGTAATAAAACTTTTGAAGGTCTATTTTATTATTAAAAGTGGTTTTACCCACATAGTAACTATGTTTACTTTAGTAGACATTTTAAAAGTTTGCCCTTTGCTCCTGCCATAGGCAACCCCCCTCCCTTCAAATATCTTCTTGTGGTATGAGAGATCTACACAAAGGTGGTTAATAATCAGATTCTTTGAATTGCATGAAAAGTTCCCATTCAAGTGCCAACGGTGACAGAAAAAGAGAGTATCGATAGAGGGCATTCACAATTGAGGGAATTTTGTTTTAGAAGCTTGTGCATTAGGCTGGTAAAATATATGATCTGGGTTCTAATGTCATTAGAATTTAGAGACTATATTGAGCATCAGAACGCCGACTGGAATATATATTTGGGAACTGGACCACAGAGTGACTCTTAGATACTAGCTAAAATGCTGCAGATAGAGGCATAAAATGCACATGGTGGAGATGTTGGGAGCAATGTGGATCCATTTGGATTCATCTGGGCATATCACTGATCCATCAACCAATATCTCCATTCACTGGATACTTACGAAGATTAGGCTTGATTGCTTCTCTCAATCAAGTGCCTTGCAACTGTGCTGGAACTCGAGAATTCCTAGCCAGAATTCCTCATCACATTTCTCAATAGGGGCATTTAAATGACAGAATGTTCCTGAGTACATTAATTTGCACGACACCTTTAAACATCTTCTGGTTGGCATGAAGTAAATTCCATCTTGTTCTCTTCACATTTTACTACCATTTGATTTTCTTCTATGATAATTTCTTCTTTAACTGGATGATTGTTTTAGCTGCCTACTGGTTTCACTATTTGAAGTGTATGTTACTCACACATTTCAGTAGTATGAGAATATGCCTATTGTGCATGGAGTCTATTAATCTGAAGAGAAATGGCAGTTGAATGTGAGAAGTCTATGAACTACATTTGGCAGATTAATTCAGATTACATTTTCATCATCATGGGAAAGGATCAAAAACTATAAATAACCAAAATATGTAACCAAATCTTACCATAGACAATGACAGCAGCAGTGGTGCTCTTCCTTTTTGCCACAATATTTTTGGCAACACAAGTATAATTGGCTGTATCAGAGAGGCGTGCCTGCTTTATGATCAAGTTGTGGTCAATTGTGATGTAAAAATTTCGGTCTTCCACAGGGTCTATCACCTCTTCATTTTTCAGCCACTCAACCTGTTGAGAGATTCACAAGTATGATCAGATACAGCATTTTTGTATCAAGCATTCAGGTGAACTATTTATTACGTGTCTTTATATTCCTGTCTCAGGATAACAAATTTAGATTCATTTCTCAGGCACACAAATTTAATAATAAATAAAAAATAAATAAAAATAACAATTCTCTCACAGCAGCTTACAAGTTATATATTAAAAAAGGTAAATAAAAACACAAATATCATTCAAATACAAATAAAACAAGCAGTTGTCTATTATCTTCTTCCAGGACAGCTCATAGTAATGACAATATAGTGGATAGAGGAAAAAATGTCCAGCTGAGCAGTCTTATGTGGTGGTTGTTGCCTTTATGTTTCCCTTCTTTCAGGGGTCCTTTCCGGAGGTCAGTTGTGACAACTATCAGTGGCCAATAGCCACAGGGACATTAGGAGACCACCTGTTGCAGAGGCAAATCTAGGTTTCCTATTAAGATCATATCTAGTGTATTTTAAATTGTAATTATTTCTATCCTACCTTTCAGTTATTGTCTTAGGAGACTGAACAATGACAAATTTAAAGAAAAAGATCATTCAGTGACATCTTTATCCAAGAGATTCTCTGGCCCTTCCAATTTTAAGGATGTTAACAACTATTAGAGGCCTCTGGAATCTATGTGGGTCATGAATGCCTGATCTTTTGAAACAAATTATTTTTCATTAATAAATTAATAGGAATATAGGCTAAACATTTCACAAATAATGCATCTTGTGTGGAGACTTAAGATAAGATAATGCTTGCCATATATATGGATCAATGTGACTTTGTGTGAATTGCTTATATACAATCACACTTAAAGAGAATTAACACCCCTGTATTCATACAAATATTTCTTTAAAAAATTTTTTAAAAAGGCTGGAATGGTTAAAGATCTAAAAACATGCTCCTCAAGTTATATAATATTCCATTCATTTCTGTCATAAAGAAGCACTCCATTCTCCTGGAGCTGCCTGAGGTAAGCTAGTCTACATAAATTGGCTGAACATTCAGTAGCTTATTTGCTTTTGAACTGAGCATGCTTTACAGCCGGGGATGGATCAAAGAAGTGCCTTCATGTCACTGGATCACTGGAATTTATGCCCAACACTTTAATCAAATAAAAAAGAAAAATCCTGCCCCTGGCCAACCCAATGGAATACAGAGAATTCTTACAACTAAGAAAGACCTGGTTTGTCCAGACAAACATGCCCTTTACTCTAAACCATTTGAACATCTGCCCAAGGAGACTGAAAGCCAAGAAGGTTTGCTCCATTTTTTTTTTAAAGTCACAGAAGTGACTGTGATCAATCATTCATCTAGGCAGTTGGGCCTTTTTCTGTTTTTGTCAACATAAAGCTTGATTCTTTTCCTAGATGAATCATTGAAGTTCTGTTTAGTGAAATCAGTCCCCTCTAAGACAGGAACATGAATATTCTAATTGAATATTTCATTTTATCACATAAAATAATACTTTGTTGCAAGTGTGCAAATATCTGTCCTCAGATCAGCCTAATCCATACATTAATATGCACCAACTTAGTATTTCACAACATGGAATTATTAATGCTTCTATGAACTGCATGCATGAATTATTTCTAGTGGAAACTATAGCATTTAGAATAGTGTGAAATTACAGTAAATTTTCTGTTATAGAATACCACGTGCAGTCACAGACTAATGAATCTACAACCCTTAGATTTTTCTAATTCTGAAACTATAATTAATAACAAACTATTAGGCAAAATACAGGCTTTTCCTAAGAGTATTTCTTCATGGAAATAGCTGTCATATCTGGATAGACTGAATGCATATCAGACACATTCATCCTATGCATCCTACACATACTTTACTTTAGTCCTTTATCTGCTTCTGGTATTTTAAACAACTACACAATTTGTACAACAGAACCAATAGGCAAAGATAGGGTTCCTTCTTGCACTCCTGCACTCATTTATTTCTCTTAATACCTTCCAGGTGCAACTGTCAAAATTAAGTTACATTTAGCCAGCATTCTAATATACATTTTTGGGGACTATCGCATTGTTCTTACTGAAACTAGATTCTACAGCAGTATAGCACTTAAATTCACTCCCCCAATGGTGCTTTGGAGCATGTAGAAGTATAACATAGCACTGCCTGCAACTCCATAAAGCAGATGTTTGTTTTGTCATAATTATCCAAGAAGGGTACAGCATTTGCAGAAGACAACAAGCTCACCATTTGCATAATCATAATCTGTTGTTCCCTGCCCTATTTTCATACCATGTTGTAGCAACATACAGAGAAGAGGGACAATATGGACAAAGTTAGATAATACTCCCATGTTTGCTTATTCCTCAAGAGGTAATGGTAATAAAAGCAAAATGATAGATACAGCCTATGGCAACACTGGACAAACCTGTCTGGACTTAGAGGCAAAGTCAGACCTGGCTAGCACTTGGATGGGATTCCTAGTTGCTGCATGATCCCAGGAAAAGGCACAACTGCTTGAAAGTGTTGCAAACAGGTGCTAGGTTTATATCTCCACATGTTCTGGACCTCTTTTTAAAGACTGAATCAAAAAATTGCAGTTTTACTTCCTTCCACATACATATATCTGTTTGATGGCTATCTGTGAAGCAAAATTCATCTTAATTTACTTCACAACGTTGTTATAACTGATGTTATAAAGAAAAATCCTACTGCATTTTATTCATTAACTCTCATGAAACCTGATGGAAAAGAAAAGAAAAGAATTCTGGTGAAATTTGTATGCACAAAATGTGATGTTCTTCATTTAAGAAATGAAATGAGAAATGGGAATGTATAAAGGTCCTATCTTTCCTAGTACAGTTAAATGCATATCACTTGCTACATCCCTCTGAGGTAATAAACAGTATTTTTATCCTAAAACATGTAACCATCTGCCCAAGCAGCCCAGAAATCATAGATGGCAAAATGGATATTGAGAAAGATGTTCCTTGAATTTGTTGTCTAGAATCTAAGAAAGGGATAAAGTTCAGTATCTGCTCTAAGATACTGGCAGAAATTAAGAGAAAAAACTAGCTAGCAAATATGTCTTGTTTTGCTTTTTGTCTTGAGTCTCTTAGGCAACCTTTTCCCATCGAGCACTTGGTTTGCCCCCATTTGTAACATTTTTCAAAGCTAAAGTCTTGTCATGCTGCCTTTCTCAGAGAGCTGCTAATAATTTCCTCTAAAACACATCATATACTTTCAGAGAATGAGCATTCAAATCATTTTCCAATGTTTGATGTGCCTAATTTGTCAAAGAAGACAGGATATTGCACTTTAAGCTCCTTAGGGCGTTGATCAAAACCACAGGTCTTATTTGCAGGGCCTTTTAGAAACGAGTCAGTTATAATGTCCTTGGTAATAGTACTAAATGGCAAATTAAAATTGCTTCAGCTATAAAACATATAACAATTGCTTCAGAATAAACACCTGTTTTCAGTAAGACATTGCTTCACTTAATGCTTTTACATAAAATGCCAATAATTTAGCACTCTGAAAATGCTACAGTTTTATCCCTATGAATCAAACTGCCAAATCACATTTTAGTACAGCATGCTGTGTGAACCCAGTCCATATAGTCTATGATTCAGTGTGTTTTGCCAAGCCAGAAAACTGAGTTAATTGAGCAAACCACAGTTAATCATGGATTACCATGTCATGAATATCTATGTGTTATGCTTCCTTATACAAGACACACACATTATGCCATTTTTCAGCTTCTATTCTGGAATGGAACTAGTCCAAGAAACGAATAGAAGAGAATATGTGTGGCTCAGGGTTGAACTGTGGAGTCCTTGGGGTTCTCTGAGCTTGGTTGTTCTCTTGCAAACATTTCATTACCTGCCTAGGTAACATCTAGCACTGAAGATGTTACTTAGCTGGGTAACAAAACGTTTGCAAGAGAACAACCAAGCTCAGAGAACTCCAAGGACTCCATAGTCCAAGAAAGCATATAATTTGTCTTTCATTCTTACTCTCTTCACAAGGCATTACTTCTTCCATTTTTCTTCCCAATACATCTTTCTAGGCTAGAATGATATGTAGACTCTATTCAGACATGTGACATCATACAAGCCTAAGTTAACAGGTGAAGTACTTTAGCTATCCACATCTGACAGTTGTTGTCAGGATTGGCTTCTTTTTACTCATCTCTTATGCGGTGGCTCATTGTCCCTTCCCTAATACCAAAGGACTATCAGTCACTAAATGAGAGATACATCCAGCCTAAAGAAAGGAAAATAGCCCTATGGCCTTTCCTCACTGCCAAAATGAGGTGTTGGCAAAAAAACTATGCCAGCAGGCCAATCCCTATTTTGCCTCTAAAACTCTGTCCAGTCACTGCTGCAGTCACAAATTTTGCCTACAAAGTAGTGGGTGATAAAGCCTAAGTGATATTATATGCTTTGATTGTGGCTTTGCTTGTGGTTGGAATAAGCTGGCCTTAGTATTTCTTTACCAGATCCTATTGACTCTTGTATCTGGGGACATGTTAGCATGCCCAGGAGCTAAACTAAGAATGCCTAGCTTATGCATGACTATTTTTGATAGGAAAGAGAGACTAAAGGACAAAAAGAAACATATGATGGTATATATAGATGTGAGGGAAGATAGTTTGCAAAGCTATAAAAGTATAGAGATAGATAGCAAATGGTGTTGGTGTGAACTAGATTTAGCTACATTTTGGTTTCTTTTCTTATCTCATGTCCTTAATTTCTGTTACTAGTTCTCATGTCCCTTCTGCATCAGTTCCTTCAAAAGGAAATGGTATAATGGGTATGTATGTAGGTACATATGTATGATAAAAATACAAAAAAATAAAAAGTTGTGAGTGGGAAATTCCTCTATTTTTACCCAGTGGTATTTTACCACTGTTTTGTAAGATTTCCCCAGCTGTATTGACCTGTCCTGTGGTATGTGGCATTTTTAATTACATTTGTATCATTTGCTGTAAGAACTTAAGGGAAGGTGGA